GTTTTAGAGCTGACTGCAGCATCCAAAGAGCTCATCAAAGCGCTACTTTTCTCTTTCCATCTGAACATCCTGCGGTTGGAACTGAAAACTGAGAGAGAGGCTTCCTCTCTTCAGGGGAACTATAGTTGCTTTCTGCTCCTGATTTTGGAAGCTCCCAACCTGTATTACGTAAAACATATTAAAATTCTTTCTCATTCCAGGCTATGGTTGGGGGGGAGGGGGTAATGACTATAAATACAAAGAGGTAAATATAATTTTCTATGTATTTCTATATAGTATTTCCATAATTTTATTTCCATAACTTAATTTTTTAATTTACTTGCCGGTGATAAACTCACATCTAATTGTTCAAGTCCTATGACTTTTATGAAACACTTGCCAGATGAGAAAACCTGAAGTATGTATTATTTTCTTTTATAAAAAAAGTTTTAATTTAAAAATTGTTATTATTATTTTTGTTTGTTTTGGTGGGGTGAGGTAACTAAGTTTATTTATTTATGTATTTTTTAACAGAGGTACTGGAGATTGAACCCAGGACCTGGCCCTCGTGCGTGCTAAGCATGCGCTCCACCGCTTGAGCTACACCCTTCCCCTCTGTTTTCAAATATAATAAAGTGTTAATGCCTGAAAAATTCAACAGTTGATTAAGTCACATGACGTTACCTTTTGCAGGCATTAAAGTGAACATTTATCCATTGATATTGTTCAGTTTTCTAATTTTACCCTCTATTTTATCTATTTTCCCCCCTGAGGTCTCAAATATTTTTATGGATCTGTGAACACTTTTAGCTCTAAGTGATAAAACCGTCGCTAGAGGGCTTAAATTTTATTGGACGTACCCCGTGCCTTTGGAGGAACGAAGCACCCAAGAGCTATTTGAGGGAATAACAAAAAGTCAAGTCAGCCTCAAGAGATTCAGATCCTCAGAAAACACTTAAAACATTAAATTCCCCTTTTGTTTTCTCTCCCAGGGCTTTCCTGCTTCATTTTCTTCGCGAACATTCATAATTCATTCCAAGGTATGTGGGTGACAAGCAAAGGGAATCCGAAATGGCTCATGGAGCTTATGTTTCTAAGATACTTATTTACAACGCAGTTTGGAGATAAGCAGACCAACTTTGCTGTCCCCCAAATTCACACCTAGAAAGAGAAGTATGGAAATGGTGAGCACTGGCTCAAGTTCATGCAGCCATCCAGGGACACAGCCAAGTGTAATTCCAGCCCTTGTAAGTTTTCCCTCCACACTGTACTTAGAGCATTTGAAAAGAAACAGCACATTGTTTATTCTTACTGTTTCTTTCTTTCTTTCCTTCTTTTTTTCCTTCCTCCCTTCCTTCCTTTCTTTCTTTCCTTCTTTCCTTCCTTCTTTTTTTCTTTCCTTCTTTCTTTCTTTCCTTCCTTCCTTTCTTTCTGTCTTTCTTGGTCCTTTGTGGGAAGAGGTAATTAGGTTTACCTTTTTTTTCTTTTGCTGCGTTAAGCTTTATTGTTTTCGTTTGGTCCAAGGCTTGGGAGAGGGCTCCAGGATGGTTAACAAGCCTGGTGACTGCAGAGAGAGGCTCCAGGCAGAAGCCCTGACACCAGAGGGGCACAGAGGCCGCTGGGGTGCAGAGGCTCCTAGTCATGCTCGAGGGTGAGCCTTTCAAAGAGATACTCGCCCAGCCCAGCCTGGGGACCAGAAAGCCTGTGGGGGTTGGTCAGGTGGTTGCCCATCTTCTTGATGAGTTTCACCTCCTCATCTAGGAAGTGGCTCTCCAGGAAGTCGCAGAGGCGTGGGCCTGCGCGGGCAGAACCCAGGGCATGCAGATCCACAAGGGCCTGGTTCGGGGGCTTCTCCTTACCTACTCATTTTTAAGAGAGGCACTGGGCTTGAACTCAGGACCTCATGCGTGCGAGGCACACACTCTACCACTGGCTGCACCCTCCCCCCTAATCCTTACTGTTTAACTTACACAGGCTGTTTACACAAAGAATCCACAAACATCAGGAGAAACGTTATATGGAAATAATAGATGACCACTCTTTTTATTACAATATTTATATATATATATATACATTTAGCTATTTATATATATACACACATATATACCTATGTGTACTTATTTACCTATTTATACATGTATAAAATATATATTTATTTGCATATATTTATACAGATACAAAAAATATAAAAAATATGAATATAATTTATATTTATATAAATCAAATATATAAATGTATAAAATATATTTATAATATATGATGATATGCTTATAATAAGTTAATCATATATTTATATCATTATAATATATTAATAATATATTATTTATATTATTATAATGTATACTGTATAATATAAATGTATAAAATATGTTTATATATTTTAATATATTTATACAGATAAAAGTATTTTATATATTTATATCGATGTAAACATAAATTTTATATATACCTATTTATGTAAATATATAAAAATAGATAAATAGGTATATATTAATATATATAATATATACATATTTGGCATAGGAATATGTAAATATATATTACATATATTTATAAGTATATAAATGGATATATATTTAAACTCTTTAAAGCTCTAATAAAAAGTGACATCTACTTATTAGTTCCATATTATTTTTCTCCTGATTTTTGTAACTTCTGTGTGAATAGCTTGTGTATGTTAAATAGTATATACACAAATATGTACATGCATTTTTACATATATAAACAGGTATAAATACAGACCGAGATTTGATAGATGCAGGTTTGACCACGTACATATTATTTTACCGAATGCGGTCACAGTTTATAAAGTGTCTACAGTGGGCTTTTATTTCACCTATTATGTGCTAAAAATCCTCTCTTGACAATAATCAGTGAGCCGTCTTGTCGTTAGAGGCTGAGTAGCATGATATTGCATCCCTCTATTTATTTATGGATATATTTATCTCGTAATATAAACATAAGATTCCATACTGCGTGAAAAGAATCTAGTCATAACACACGCAGAGAGAAGTATAAAGGAATACGGCAGACTGGGCCAACATGGACGACCCCCCTTCCTCACTCCCATCCCAAGATCCCACTGAAATGCTGGGCAAAATTTAACATTAATGTTACCATCTGTAGACATTCAACCAGACATGTACTGCTTTCTGCTTTTCAGTTTTCTGTTTTCACTGTGGAGCCAAAGATGGAAAGCAAGAAAGAGGAAGGGATGGAGAAGGAGGCGGAGGGAAGGCTCACGAGGCATCTGGCATGTTTTCCCTGTGACAGGCGCCGCGCTAGCTGTGCACGTGTTTAATTACTGATACTCTTGTCACACAGGCACACACTGTGATTAAGCTATTTGGCAAATTTAACACAGTTATTAAGTAGAGAAGGCAGACTTTGAACCAAGGTGGATTGGCTCTGGGGTTATTTCTCTTCAGATTTCCATCCTCAATTCTCATTCCAAGATAAGTAACATAGCCTTGTGCTGACTTGAGGTGCGGAGCTGGATCTGGGTGTTCTATATAAATCCCAAAGCTTCCAAGGGCTATCCTGTTCACTCAGAGTGAACTAGAAAAACCCCATCCGCTAACCCAGAAGGGCAAAAAGAAAATTTTCTAGTGGCCCCTGCCCCTAGGTGGGGGGAAAAAAAAGAAAGAAAGAAAAGAAAAACCCACTGAAGCCTCATGCATTGGCCAGGATCGGGTCTAAACTTACATATTCAAATAGCAGGAATCTCAAACTATCACAATAGCAGGAGAAAGTCACACACCGTGGGTCCACAGGGAAACTTTCAGGACCCAGTACGTGCAGAATGCCAGCAGAAAGAAAACTAAAAGCAACAACAATTCTCACTGCAGAGTCGTCACTTATAACATGTTTATTCAACGAATCCCCTGGGCATCGGTGCTTGGGTTACGTCTTGTTCCCCTCTAGGGGGCAGTAAGCCTTCCTGAGTACACATGTTCACGCACTAGAAATTAAACTTCCTGAAGTTAACCTGCAGAAAGAGGAAGGACTTATATTTAAGACCTCTGATAACTATTATGAAATTTCCTCTGGAAGACTCCTTATCAACTTGGGCTTGCAGCTGTGCCTCTTGTAGCATAGGAGGGACACTTTTGCCTGGTGGCTAAACAACTTCTTTAGGGTTCGATGGAACTGACTCTCCCATTTACCTGCTATTTCATCTCAGACAGGTCAGATTTTGGCTTCATTCCACCCTCCCCTAACATTTTATGAAAATCTTTACAGAAAACTTTTAAAGATCCTGCGAAAGCGAATGAATTAGATGCACTCTGAAACCTGGCATCAGGCATGTGATTAGTTACAGAGTTCTCTGTCTGTTTCTTTTTCTTCTCCTGAAGTCAACAGAACATACAATGAAATGCCAAAACCTTAAGTGGACTTATTTATGAGTTCTTCATGTAACTGTGCAGCTCAAGCCTCTGTCAATATATAGAGCATCAGAATTACCCCCTAGAGCTCCCTCGCGTCCTTTCGCAGACAACCTTTGCCCGTTCCACCTAAAGGTAGTATACCTGGAGGCGACCACCGTATGCTAGCTTTACCTGTTTTGTAGCGTCATATAAATGGATTCACGCAGTATCTAATGTGTGCCTGGCTTCTTTCATCCCGCATAATGTTTCTGAGATTTATCCACATGGTTGATTGCAGCAGTAATTTTGTTCCTTTTAATTTTGAGTAACATTCCGTTGTGTTAGTAAACCACCGTTTATTTATCCATTCTCCTATTGGTGGAGTCTTCTATTTGCTTTCTGATGGTTGACGATTATGAATGGGGCTGCTATGGACATTCTTGTACAAGTCTTCCTGTGGACATGTGTTTTCATTTCTCTGGGGTAAACTTCTCTAAGTGGAATCTCTGGGTCATGGGGTGAATTTATATATTTAGTTCTATTTTTGTTTAAGTCAGAACTTTATCCTCATCCGCAGAAACTTTTGGTATTGCCTGTCTTTTTAATTCTAGCCATTCTGGCAGGTGAGTAGTGGGATCTCATTGTGATTTTTAATTTGCATTTCTCCAGGCTGATTTTTTTTTTACTTTCATTTGATCATTTACAAGATGGAGTAAATTATTCTGCATAGTTGGGGGAGTTTTTGTGAGATTTCATGGAAACCACACAAGTTAAGTACTGACATAATGGCTGACACCTAGTACATTTCAAATATGTGCTGTTTCCCTGATGCTTATGGTACCCACTGGAAACTGTCAATAGTAGGGAAGAATTATTTTCACGAATATTTAGTGGGAGATTGCCCTGGGACATTAACTTTTTAAAATTACATTTTGAACTCAGGGATGATCGTTCCTTCTCTCCCTGTTCACTCCTGTCCAGCTCTACACTCTGAGCTGGTCTCCATCACAGCTTCTGCCTCGGCTCAAAAAACCCTTCCATCAGATTTTCCCATTCTCTACACGAAATCATCTCCACCACACTTGCTGTGATCCTCCTATGGGATTTCCCCTCCTAGCTCCCTCTTAGCCTCTGGCTCCTTACACTATGTTTATTTGCAGTCCTTTCCACGCAAGATAATTTGTTCACATGCCTCCCATAAAACTGTCAGCTCTGTGGAGCCAGGAACTGGAGCGCTTTCATCAACTGATGGGTCAGAGAGCAGTAAAACTCAGTGCCTGGCACGGAAGGACTGCTCCATCAATGTATTTTTTTCCTGTAGGTACTCTTCTTTCCATTTAATTTTTTCATGATCTTTTTTTTACTGATATATAGTCGATTTACCATGTTGTGTTAATTCTCATGTACAGCACAGGCCACCAGTATTTGTTGACAGAACGCCTGCATGACAGGTTGGTGACATGGATTGAATCCACCAGTTTGACCCCTTATTGATCCTTAGTCACAGATGTGAATGAATGCCTGAATGCCGCGACTTGCCCTTCGAAATCCACCTGCAGTAACACCGTGGGAAGCTACTTTTGCACCTGTAAACCCGGATTTGAGTCAAGCAGCGGGGAACAACATTTCACTGACTTCGGAGTGACTTGCAAAGGTGAATGTCCTTTATGAATGTTCTCGGAAAAGTACGTAAACTTATCCCACATAAAGTTTGGACCCAGATTTTGATGATAACTGATCAAATCAAGACCTTTGAGAGTGGAGACCTACATATTATGCCTGAATAATATTTTTTTGTTGATTATCATAAAGATTCCTTAAATCCTTTAGTCCAAGGATTTTTGATCAGATCACAGTCTTTTTTTCCTTTTTAAATTTTTCATTATATCATTCTTTTTCTGTTTTTAATTCCTATTTTTTATTGAAGTTTACAGAGTTTGTTTCAGGAGTATAACAAAGCAATTCAATTATACGTACACATACTTTTTTTTTTTCAGATTCTTTTTCATTATGGCTTGTTACAAGGAGTTGAATACAGTTCCCTGTGCTATGCAGTAGATCCCTTTTCTTTATCTGTTTTCTACATAGTCGTGTGTATCTGTTAATCCCGAACTCCTAATCTATCTCTCCCCTCCATTTTCCCCTGGTAACCACAGTTTGTTTTCTGTGTCCAAAATCACATAGTCTTTTGATCTCATGGGCTATCTGCAAACAATAGACGGGGGCTGCCTGGATCTACTCTCTTTAGTACCAAGTGAGAAGGAATGTTAGCCAGGAATAAATAAAGGGGATTTGTCCTCAATTTGGAATACTTTAAAATTCCATATTAACAAGTTCATAGCAAGCCTGTTTATCATAATGATTTTTCTTCTCCTTTGGAAACACATCTTCATGTATTCAACTAAAAATGTATTTTCTCACCAAAGTTTCCTAATACATTCAAAAAATATAGGTTATACAAAATTTTATTGTTACCATTTTGCATCCGGGGCTTTTCAAAAAAACCTCTCTCAGTGCATAATGTATATTTATAGGAAAAAAATATATTTTTAGGAAATATATGTTTTTATAGGAATATATTTATAGGAAAAAGTAAATGAAAAAGTTATAAAGATTTGTGCATGGAAGTTTGTTTTCATTATATTTTCTAACACGCTCATAATGTATATTGATAGGAAAAAAATATATTTTTAGGAAATATATGTATTTATAGGAATATATTTATAGGAAAAAGTAAATGAAAAAGTTATAAAGATTTGTGCATGGAAGTTTGTTTTCATTATATTTTCTAACACGCTATGGCTGGTGTTTAGAAAATCATTTTTTTTAAAGTGTTTTCCTGGAACTCAACTCCTAAAACACAGTAGTGATTTTTCAAATGTTGCTCCCAAATTTTTCATATTGAAAAATCAAATCATATAAAAAGAATTATTTATATCTTTTTTTTTTATGTAAAGAGAGTTTTTGTCTTCTCAGCATATTGACTGGACCCTTCAGAGCTCATTTGGAAAAATGGCTGCAAGTAGCCAATTGTATTTATCTGACTTCAGTCGGAAAGTCACTAATATTTATAAAAATAAATAAGACATTTTCCGGTTTTTTTTTTTTTGGTTTTGTGTTTTGCTAAATACTCTTTTTCATTTCAAGGTCTTTCCCCCTCTATTATTAGTTTAATAAGATTTTTTTGATTCTCAGAACCATGCATTGAATTTTGTGCCACTCTTGTTGACCTGAAGATGTTTTCATTGAATATATAGTCAAATAATCCTAAAGACTGCCTCTGTGGATAGCTAATTTTATCTTGTTCAATATCTACAAGGGATATGGCTGCAGCTTACTTTTTGTAGGTTCTCTTTCCCTGGAAATTCTCAGATTCCCAGAAGGCAGCCCTCCGTCCACGTACAGCCTCCATGCACATTGACAACACCGTGCTAAACCGGGAAATGTCCGCAAATGCCCACACACTAATCTTTTGAATTGGTGAATATATTACTGTCTTAGTCTGTATGGGCTCCTCTAATAAACTATCCTAGATTGTGTGGCTTATGAACAACCAGCATTTATTCCTCACCATCCTTGAGGCTGGAAGGTCCAAGGTCAAGGCACCGGCAGATGCAACGTCTGGTTCCATAGGTGGCACCTTCTGGCTCAGGGAGCTCTCTGGGGTCTCTTTTCTAAGGGCATTAATCCCATTCATGAGGGCTGCACCCTCTTGACCTAATCACCTCCCAAAGACTCCATCTCCTAATAACATCACACTGGGCATTCAGTTTCCAGCAAATGAGTTTGGGGGCAGGGACACAAACAGTCAATCTATAGCAATTACCTTACACATCAAAAGGGGTTTTCACAGATGTAATCAAGTTAAGGATCTCAGATGGGAAGATGATCTGAACTATCCAGGTGGACCCAGATAATCAACGGTCCTCAAGTCATGGAGGAGGGAGGCAGAAGTTCAGAGTCTGAAATGAACTGAGTGATGCTCAGCTGCTGGCTTTGAGGAGGGAGGAAGAGGCCAGGAACTAAGGAATGTGGTGGCTTCTAGAAACTGGAAAAGGCAAGGAAATAGATTCTCCCTTGGAGCCTGTCAAAGGAATGCAGCCCAATTGACACCTTGATGATCGCCTGGGGAGATCTATGTTGGAATTCTGACCTCTCAGACAACAAGATAATACATTTGAACTGCTACAGAAATCATGGGAGGCTCACACAACCAGTGACCTCTGTAGATCCCTTGTATTTGATTCAAGCTGGTGAGTCTCAGAACTGATGACCATGTTTTTCCTCCTTCCCAGACATAGATGAATGTCAAGGTGTGTGACTTATATTTTCCTACCTGTGCCTTGAAGAACTCTTGTAATTCTTAAGCATTGTAGCCAGCTCCTGCAACCATCTTACACTCTTAAACACAAGCCTACCACCTGTGATCAGGACACAGAAAGCAGGGACTCATCCCTAAAGTCTTAATTCTTCTGCACAGGTGTGCTCCGTTCTGCAGCCTGACTCTTGCATCACTGTTCCTTTTGTCTGGGAATTTCTTGTACAGTGTTTTCTTATCCCCTTACATTTTGCCTTAAGTGTCACCTCTCCAGATAGACCTTTTCTAAACTTGCTCTCTAAAAATCTCTACTCATTTACTCTCTTCTGCCTTCTGCTTTTTGATCTTCCTTCCTGGTAGTTGCCCTTCATTAACAGGGACTCCTTGTCCCTGGCCTCACGGTGAGCCTCCAACATTAGAAAATAAATGCTGATTATCCTGTTCACTGTGCTGTTAGTGGCTGACAGTCTTGGTTTGGCTGGTACTTCGGGGATTTCTGGATGCAGAACTTTCCACTTTATACCAAGACAGCCTTGAGCAAACTAAAGTGAATTGATCACCCCAGAAATACAAAGGACTGTGACTGGTGTGAGGTGGACATGCCACAAGCATGTGAATGCAGATTAGAGAGATGCCTCAGAGCGCTGTCATTGATTCCTTTTTCATCTCTTTCCTGCCACAGATAAGGATGAATGTAAGAACTCCACCTTGTGCCCACCTACAGCCACTTGCAAGAATGCCCCAGGAAGATACTTTTGTGTCTGCAAACCTGGATTTGTGTCAATGGATGGGAAGAATCAGTTTACTGGCCCTGGAACTTGCAGAGCAAATTCGACTCCTTCAGGTGAAAATTTTCCTAAAAAAAGAGTTGAGCAAAACAAAGAAATGAAAACAAACCAACAAACAAAAAAACTCACCACTATGAATTTGACTTCAGTTACTCTAATAACCTTTAAGTTCTTCAGTTCTGAAACATTGTTATTTGATGCATGTATGTATGTGTGTATGTATAGATATAGATATATAGATGGAGTTTTAAAAAAACACCCTTATGACACATGACCTCCATCACTGGAGCACATAGCCAATCACTAGGTGTATGAGTGAGGCCATCTGAAATCAGGCAACACTCAGGCAACCTGCCAATTTCTTAGATATTCATAAGTGAGTCCAGGTCAGTTGATAGCAGACAAGCCCAACTCAGACCAAAATAACTGCCCAGCTGAGCCCTGCCCTGATCACTGTGTGCCTGTCTAACTAGAGCCATCAAAATATTCTTTCTCCATAATATATAAGAAGATCAATGCAACCATGACCTCTATGAATTATAGTGAAATAAAACAAGAGTATTTTCATAGGAAAGACCAAATAAACAGAGGCATTGTGATAGTTTGAAAGCAGCAACTGAAAAAGCAGACTTTCTGTTTTTATCTAAATCACGCCTAAATTTTTAGGCTATACGTTGCTTACAATGTCTTTTTCTTCTCCTCCTAAATTTCCTGTGCTAGGAAAAAGTAAGTGTCCTTCTGTTGTTTTCCTGTCACTCAATTTTCCTTTTCATAGCATTTTCGCTATTATTACTTCTCGTGTTGCAATATACAAACACCCCTACATGGGTCTGAGTTAAAATAAATCTTATCCTGAGAAATCTCTTTCCCAACTATGAACGATTGAAAGAGGTATGAACGTTAAAACCCAAGGTAAAAACCCAACTTTTGTAACTACAGAGGCCAAGGTTATTAAATATTTATTTTAACAATTTGGTTAGTATTGTCGACTGGAGCGGGGTGGAGAAGAGTTAGCTTTCTGCGAGGGGAATTTCTGAGGACTTAAGCCTGGGATGCTGCCCCTCAGATCACACTCTAAAAGACTCCTCTAAAGAAGCAGGGGAGGAGCAAAGAACAGGTAGTTGAAACTTCAAAAGATTACTGTTAATTAAAGAAAACCAGACATGTCAAGTTGAAGAATTTAGCCCTTTTCTATGTATGGAAAGATGCAAGAGTCTGGGCTCATTGAAATGATTCCTTTGACGTGCACCTCCACTATCTAAGGCCAGTATCCTGTTCTTTCCCACCCTGAGTTCCGTCTGGGTGCGCTGTCGGGGATGGTGGCAGAGGCCGGGCTGCCTGCTTGTCACCATCCTGAGTTCCCTCCGGCTCACGGTCGGGGGTGGCAGTAGTGGCTGACAATTGATGTCTGCAGCGTCCTTTGTTTACTGACATGGCAGGCGATGTTTTTCATCCCCAGTACATAGGCATGATCTTCCTGTTGCTTGCATAGCAAATTACCAGACCTCTCATTGCTTGAAACAACAGAAACGTCTTATTTTACCAAGGACTGTAAGAAATCACGCGGAAGTCTGAAATGAGTCTCACTGAGCTAAAATCAAGATATCTACAGGGCTGAGTTCCTTCCCTGATTCTCTAGGGAAGAATCCATTTCCTTGTTTATTCCCCACATTCCTTGGCTCACAGCCTCTTCCTTCATCTTCAGAATCAGCAGTGCTGCATCCGTCTGGCCATTCCTCCCTAGTCACCTCTCCCTCGGATTCCTACCAGGAAGTGTTACCACTTTTAACATCCTTGTGTCAGGGTATTAATATTGGATCCGTCTGGATGATCTGGATAATCTTCCCACATCACAACACCAACCTAATCACCTCCGAAAAGTCCCTTTTGCCACGTAAGGTACTATAGTCCTGGGTTCTGGAAATTAGAACTCGGACATCTTGGAGGGAGGCAAATTTTGCTGACTGCAAATTTAGACAGGTTAGACAGGTAACAGAAGGGACATACGACAAATTGCATTTTTTTAAACTTGTCATCTGATTCTAAAAATCATTGTCAAGATAAAATGAATGAACTCATAATATTATTGTTGATAAAATCACATTGTTAACTATACACTGTTGGCTTCCTAACAGCACGACTCCCTTCCAGACACGCAGCTCCTGTTACAGTAACACCAATGACTCCCCCCCTAGTGGCTGCCAATGATGTATTTTAACTTGTCATCCTGACTCCTACTGAAAAATCCAAAGATGGAGCAACCCAGTTAAAAAATGGGCCGAACACCTGAGTAGATGTTCTTCCAAAGAGGACACACAGATGGCCAACAGGCATATGGAAAGATGCTCAACATCACTAATCATCAGGGAAATGCAAACCAAAACCACAATGAGGTATCACCTCACACCTTTCAAAATGGCTATCATCAAAAGAACACAAATAGCAAATGTTGGCAAGGATGTGGAGAAAAGGGAACCCTCATACTCTTGGTGGGAATGTAAATTGGTGCAGCCCCATGGAAAACATTATGGAGGGTTCTCAAAGAACTAAAAGTAGAGTTACCATATGACCCAGAAATTACACTCCTGGGTATATATCTGGAAAAAAAAAAACCAAAAACACTAATTCAAAAAGGCACATGCACCTCAGTGTTCATAGCAGCGTTATTTACAATAGCCAAGATATGGAAGCAACCTGAGTGTCCATCAACAGATGAATGCATAAAGAAAATGTGATATATTTACACAATGGAGTACTAGTCAGCCATAAAAAATAACAAAGTTTTGCCTTTTGCAATAACATAGATGGACCTGGAGGATGTTATGCTTAGAGAAATAAGTCAGAGGAAGACAGATGCTCTGTTAGCACTTATATGTGACATCTAAAAAATGAAACAAATGAATGTATATAACAAAACAGAAACAGACTCACAGATATAGAGAACAAACTAGTGTTTACAAGTGGGGAGAGAGAAGAGGGGACCAAGATAGGGGTAGGAGATTAAGAGACACAAACTACTATATATAAAATAAATAAGCTACAAGGATATATTGTATAGCACAACGAATATAGCCGATATTTTGTAATGACTTTAAATGGAGTATAATCTATAAAAATATTGAATCACTACATTGTGCACTTGAAACTAATATAATATTGTAAATAAACTATACTTTAATTTTTAAAACTAAACAAACATAGGGCAACCAACAGGCATGACTGAGAAGAAGGAATCCCATTTGGAAAGAAAGTTGGGAGGGAAGTTGGGGAGAATTTTCCATGTCTTAAGGTAAAGTCACAATTTCAGACCACGAAGAAATATCTCTCTCTCTCTCTCTCTTTTTTTTTTTCTGTTCTCTCATTCTATTTATAGGAATCAACTCTACTTCCTCTACCCTGAGCCAAGATACATTTTCAAGAGGCTATAGCCGACCAGTAAGCTCACATCTTTATAAATGTGTGTATGATGCACACCATCAGTATGTGGAAGGAAACAATAATTACAAATAAAATACTCTCTAAGTATGAAATACAAAACAAGGGTTCAAAGCATCTTCCCCCACATATACACATGAAAAAATGATCTCTGGGGGAAAAAAAGTTTCCTGATAATTAATATTTTTACATCCTCTCATATACCTTCCATATTTTGTGCTTTATCAATTGCTTCCATTTTGAGCAACAAAGTATTATTTGAGAATAGATCGGAGCCACAAAATGTCCTGAGTCAACACTAGTTTTGTACAGGATTAATTATTTAAAAAGAGGCAACTCCAGGCACCCCTACAATTCAAACATCCTTATGGTGGATGTAATTTCACTGTTGCAAGTTGCTGTGTGTTATTATAAGCAAATCTTTAAAATGTGACTTACAGAATAAACATATGTTACACGAAGATATTAGGGAAATCAGGACATACACCCATAAGATGAATTTTTAAAAATCCAAGCCTTTGCTTCATTAAAAGTTATTTGTAGTTTGGCCTAAATTGTCCAAGGTCAACATCATATGGGACTTAAAAATGCTGCCTTTTAGGCTGTTTAGGTGACCGCGTGCTTTTGGAAAATAGAGTGTCTCTAGTCACGGCCAAGGGTAAAGATCATTGTGCTTATGAAGATTGTTTTTATTAAAACTGAGAGTGGAAAAACATTTCTAAATTATTATATTTTGCATACAAATATTGTAGAGAAATATGAACATATTAAAATTTTTTATAAAAATATAAATAAATTTTAACATATTGATTATTATGAAAGCATTCGATCTTTTTGCCTCCATCCCCCAACATTGAGATATTTGAATTGCCCCTCCTCCAATTTTAATTTGTTTTAATTTTCTCAGTGAGAAAACAGAGACTAATCTGATAGTTGGGATTTTATTATATATATCTTATTATATACATTTATTATAGATATTTTTAAATAGAGGTACTAGGGATTGAACCCAGGACCTCGTGCATGCGAAGCGTGCACTGTACCCCTGAGTTATACCCTCCCCTCCGGGGATTATATTATATTTAGACATTAGCTTTCCAGAAATTACTTTTGGGGATAATGAGGTAGTTACTGAACTAATTTACCTTTTGCAAATGAACATCCACTTGTCCTAAAACAATTTATTGAAATCTATTTACATTGTGTGCTTGTGTTTATACTCTCAAACCCTTTGCTTATCACGTTAAATTCCTTAAGTTATTTTTAATTTTGCAGTCTTGCATTCACACGTACACCAGAGTATTTCTCCACCAGGACCAACTGTTTTCATAAAGCTTATATGAATTTAAGAACAACCTCTGGATGCTTTTAGCTTAATGAAAACTGATGAAATGTTTGTACTCTTTCCTTTTCGGACACCACTACGGACCAGCGTATCAGCCAGACGACTTCCTCCGGTTCAATGAAGATAAAAGATGTATTTGAACATAGAAATGCTACAATTTCTTTACAGGTTTGAAATCGTTCCCAGTTTTGGTTAATGTTATCTCACGCTAGATAATTCTCCATCTTTTCCATCCTCCAGTACCCTGAGGGAACTGACGATCAGGTAGGTGGGACCAGTCCTTTTTCCCTTCTGTCTTCCCATCGTGGGAGAAGTGCAATCCCCACGTGTAGATTTCTACCTCAGTTCTATTGGCCATAGAGCGCTCCCTTCCTAGTTCTTCTCTGAAAATAAACGTCTTTCCATATTGGATGACGATTGAGCGTGTCCCCTGGGGTTTACCAGAAAGCCGAAAGAGAAAGCACAAACGCAGGGAAATGAAGAAGAAACACAAAGGTGAAACAAGACAGAGGCAAAATCTAGGAGAGGTGGATTTAAAGTGCTCAGTTACTTCACATTGGAAGGGGATGACTGTATAAGGTCCGAGTCCCTTCCTGCCTTGTGTAAACGTTCACACCTTGCTCCTAAGCCGTCCCCTACACCTCATCCCCTTCTTCAGCTTTTAGGAAATGGAAGTCGTCCCAGAGGAAGGTTGCAGTTATCTAAGCTTTCAAAAACGGTCTATTCGCCGCCCCCCAAATGTTTTAATTAAAAATTTTAAAAGTTAAAAAATTAAAAATTAAAATTAAAAATTTTAAATGTATATAAAAAGGTTTGGAAAATTGGATCTGTAGTCTATTTCCTTCTATGATTTCTTCCAAAAGAATAGGCATTTTTCACACTCACTATTTTTTTCAATGTGAGCTTCTGAAATAAAACTTGTCAGCTGAACTGAGCCAAAACATACTATTTTTTTTTCACATTGTACACATGATTTTTTAAAATTGAAGTATTGTTGATTTGCAACGTAGTGCTAGTTTCTGGAGTACAGCAGAGAGATTCAGTTATACATTTATATACATAATTTTTTAATTGAAGTATAGTTGGTTTACAATGTGTTAATTTCTGGTGTACAGCACAGTGATTCAGTTATACACATATATATTCTTTTTAATCTTCTTTTTCATTGTAAGTTATAATGCTATTGAATATAGTTCCCTGTGCTGTACAGTAGAACCCTGTTGTTTATCTACTTTACCTCTAGCAGTTTGTACCTGCTAATCCGAAACTCCTAATTTATCCCTGCCTTCCCCTTTCCCCTTGGATAACCAGAAGTTTATTTTCCGTGTCTGCATATTTGATTTTTTTATGGCAGGAAATAGCTAATTCTATTGGCCACATCAACAACATCATGACCCAGTCATCTTTGAGAAACAGAAAAGAAACTGCCCTTTTAGCGACGCAGTATCTTCACAGAGTCCAGCTGGCGGCGTACGAATCTGCCCTCAACCAGTCCACAGAGGGGATACAGAGGGTAGCGTTGCCATTCGTGGGTAAGCTATGGTTATCCATCCTCGGGCTGGCATTTAAATTTAATTTGGGTTCAGGAAATGCTGGTGGAGATAAAATTCAAAAGCCACGACCGGCATGAAACAGCCTTCTCTGTTCGTGTGTGTACTTGGTGCAAAATATCCTGTTTCTCTCTGGAATCCTATGTTTGCGTTGGAGAAGGCTTAGAAGTTCATTCTGCTGAAACATCATTCAAGTCTAACTTATTTTCAAAGTGACTCTTTTGTGGCTGTATGTACTGTCCCTTTTAGTCTAAGAGTCACCGTACGGTTGTCATGGACACATCTTTATCAAGGATACATTGAGGGATAAAGCATTCTGGGCTTTTAGAGCTGACAGGTGTTTCCATGGGGGGAGGGACTAAACAGTGCCTGATAAAGTGCCTGATGCCTGGAAGTGTTTAGTAATTTTCCAGTGAACGAATGAATGGCTAAATACATGGACACAAAAGAAAAATATGGTGCTGTCATCAATTAGAAGACAACATCCTGCTTTTTTAGGTTAAAAATATCCCAGGGAATGTCAGAGAACGAAATAACAACAGATTTTATCTCCCCTAGAATGAGCGAATGTTGTGCCTTGTGCAGTATTTAACTACAGTATTTTCTATATACGAAGTAGAAGGTTATAGAATAATTCAGAATACTTTTCCCCTCGCTCCATCCTATGCTCTTTTCTTCCTTCTCGAAGGCATGTAGTAGCAATTTTGCATCCCTTGAGTCTGTGCGTTTGTATTTTTTGCTACACATTTGTGTTCCCGGAGTAAGTGGTGCTACTTGTGGGTGCTTGTAAATTTCCATAAATAACCTCATAGCATATGTTTCTCCAAGCTGCTTCCATTAGTCTACATTCTTTTTTGCATTTTTATAGTGGTAGGAACACCTAGCATGAGGTTTACCCTCTTAACAGAATTTTAAGTACAGTATTAATGATAGGTGCAACATCGTACAGCACAGCTCCAGAACTCACTCATCCTGCGTAACTGAAACTCCATACACATTGAGCCCCATCTCCCCAGGCACCTGCCCACCCGGCCCCTGGAAACCACCGTTCTGCTCTCCCTTTCTTGGTGACTATTTTAGATTCCTTGTATAAGTGGAATCATGCAATATTTGTTCTTTGGTGGCTGGTTTACTTCACTTAGTGTAATTCCATCCAGGTTCATCCATGTTGTCACATATGGCAAAATGTCCTTCCTTCCTAAGGGTAAATAATATTCCACTGCATGTATATGCCACATTATCCATTCATCTGTCAAGGGGTGTTTAGGCTGTGTCCATATCGTGGCTGCTGTGAATAATGCTGCAGTGAACGTGGGCGTGCACAGATCTCTTTAATATCTTGATTTCCATCCTTTTGGATTGAGCAGTGGGATTGCCGAATCATATGGTAATTCTATTTTTCACTTTTTGAGGAACCGTCATACTCTTCCACAGGGGCTACACCATTTTGCATTCCAGCCTACAGTGCACAAGCATTCCAGCTTCTCCCCAAGAGTCTCATGTTTAGAAAAGATGACAGGTGGTCATGCCAGCCCCACCATATTGAATTTGTTCCTTCCAATGAGAGACTGTGTCCTCAAGTAAGCCAGCACTCTCAGGTGTCCACTCTAATTCCATCACCCAAGCTCCAGTTTTTAGCTGAACCTCCAACTCTCGTCACTTTTTAATGAGATCTACAATGAGATTATATTTTTAAATAACTGATTACAAAGATATCCAATAGTCACATTGACTCTCTTTCTGTTTTGTTTTTTTTTAGTTATCAAAACACTGACCATCAAGAATGGCTGCAGAACAGAAAATGAGATGTTTAAATTAAAGACTGAAAAGGAGTCGATGGACATTGCCTGCACCGCCATCACTGGAGGAGGAATGGGGGGTAACAGAAATTTCTCACATTCTCTAGAAGTCTCTAGAATTGGAGGGAAGGGAAATTCACTGTTTTTTTATTGAGTTATAATTAACATACAATATTCTGTTAATTTCAAGTGTACAACATAGTGATTCGATATTTTTATACATTATGAATGGTCACCACAATAAGACGAGTTATGATCCGTCACCATACAAAGTTGTTACAACTTACTGACTATATTCCCCTTGTGTACATTTTATCCCCAGGACTTACACATTTTGCAGCTGGAAGTTTGTACCTCTTAATCCTCTTCACCTATTTTGTCTGTCTCCCTTCCCCTTTCCCCTCTGGCAGCCACCTGTTTATTCTCTGGGTCTAAAACTGTGTTTCTGTTTTGTTTTGTTTGTTCATTTCTTTGCTTTTTGGATTCTGCCTATAAGTGAAATTTTACACTGTTTTTCTTCCTCTGCCTGACTCATTTCACTTAGCCTAATACCCTCCAGCTCCACCCATGCTGCTGCAAATGGCAAGACTTCATTCTCTTTTTATGGCTGAATAATATTTCTATATAAGTACATATAAATTTATATTTGGAGTTTATAAATGGAGTTTATCAATTTCTTGCAGTGGCTTAAAAGTAACTCAGTGCTTAGTACATTCAGACAGCAAGTCGTCTCATTTATTTTGGCATACTATTTACAAAAAGAATTTTTTAAGAGAATATTTATAGCAAAAAGTTACACTAATGAAAGGAAGTATTGGAGGCACTTTGTTAAGATATTTTTTCCTTTACAGCTGGGGTGGATGTTTGATTAATCTAGTTGGAGATCTGATTAGTATTTCGTTAAGAATACATAGGAGATATATACATACACACACACACACACACACACACGTATATATGTATATCACATCTTTTGGGGGCGATTTTAAAAATTTTATTAAAGTGGAGTTGATTCAGTTTCAGGTGTACAGCAAAGTGCTTCAGTTGTACGTACACGTACATGTAGATTTTATTTTCAGATTCTTTTCCATTACATGTTATTACAAGAAACTGAATACAGTTCCCTGTGCTGCACGGTAGGTCCTTGGTGTTTATCTATTTTATGTACAGTAACGTGTGTCTGTTATTCTCCAACCCCTAATTTATCCCTCCCCACCCCTTTCCCTTCGGTAACCATAGTTTATTTTTTATGTCTGTGAGTCTGTTTCAGTCTGCAAATAGAATTTGTATCACTTTTTTTTTTTAGATTCCACATATGAGAGATCACATCTTCTTTATCCATACATCTGTGGGTGGACCCTTGGGTTGCGTCTATATTTGGCTATTGTAAATAGTGCTGCTATGAGCAGAGGGGACTTAGCAACTTGGAAGTGGCAAGACTTCAGAATCTCCCCTAATCTGTTTTATACGGATTTATCGTCTATTAAAGTAGGATTCAGAATCCTACATTCTGTACACCAGAAGTTGACACACTGTAATTGACTATTCTTCAATTTAAAAAAAAAGAATCCTATATTTTGTGTTTGACTCCTAAGAGACTTGCCAGATAAACCCTTAACTCTGGCTAGACCGTCCCACACTTCCTCCATAGGCTGATGGGTTCCTTGTTTCATTTCAGGTGCCGTGGCCTTTATTTCTTACAAGTCTATTGAGTCCTTCTTAGACAGCTCGTTTGTATCTAAGGAAAACCTAATTCTCGATGAAAAGTTGGATCACTTTCAGCTGAATTCCAAGGTGGTCAGCGGCACGACGGGGTGCCCGAAGAACTGCTCCCTGGCCACCCCTGTGAATTTCACTTTTCCGCACACACAGGTGGGCAGTTACCAAGCTCCTTGTGCACCTAGACGTTTCTTATGATCACGCCTGTAGGCCCAAGGGTGGGAAAGTGTTGTTTTTCATAGTCGGTGCTTTCTGCCTGAGCTGCTCTGCCAGGGACTGCGTGTGGAGGCTGGAAATACAGCCGGTGCTTGGTTAATGGCTACTCCACAAACATTTGCGTGATGGAAGCCATTCTTTCAAGAGACTGAAAAGCTGTATATCCTGTAGCTGTATTTTTTAGGGAGGAGGTAACTAGATTTACTTATTTATTTTTGTTGGAGGTACTGGGGATTGAACCCAGGACTTTGTGTATGCTAAGCATGCACTCTACCGCTTGAACTATAAACGTCCAGGAAAGTGAAGGAAAAAGACACATTTGCATCCTGGCAGTAGAGTACCTATCAAAAGTCAGAAAATATTATCATCATTCATGACGGTAAAGACCTCGAGTGGAAGTTTCTGGTTTGATTTGGGTTTGATTACTTTTTAAAATTTTAAAATTTATTGCTGTATTGTTGATTCACAATATTGTTAGTTTCAGCTGTGCAGCATAGTGATTCTGTGTTTTTGCATATTATATTTCACTATTGGTTATTTCAAGATATTGGGTATGGTTCCCTGTACTATACAGTAAATCCTTGTTTCTTATCTATTTTATATATGTTAGTTTGTATCTGTTAATCCTATACCCCGCATTTGTCCCTCCCCTTCCCTCTGCCCTTTGGTAATCATAAATTTGTTTTCTAAGTCTATGAGTTTGCTTCTGTTTTGTATGTGCATTCATTTCTTTTTTGGATTCCACGTGTAAGTGATAGCATAGAATATTTGCCTTCCTCTGTCTGACTTATTCCCCTAAGTATAGTGTTCTCAGTAGAGTCTTCTCTAGGTCCATTTGTGTTGTTTCAAATGGCAGTATTTCATTCTATTTTATAGCTGAGTAATATTCCTTTGTAGATATATGTATATATATGTTGTATATATATGCACACACACACATTTCTTCTTCTTAAGCCATGTTTTTGTTTTTTGAGAGGGTAATTAGGTTTATTTATTGTTATTATTTTTATTTAATGGAGGTGCTGAGGATCGAACCCATGACGTCCTGCATGCTAAGCATGTGCTCTACACTGAGCTGTACTCTCCCCCGCCAATTGTCTGTTGATGAGCACTTGGGTTACTTCCACATCTTGACTGTTGCAAATTGTGGGAAGTTTCTGATTTTAAATGATGGTGTCTCATGAATAAGCAATTCTCTTTCCAGTTGACAGGGGAAAGCAAAAAGCCTCTCTGTGTCTACTGGAATGACATCTCATTGGGCTGGTCTAATGAAGGATGCCACGCCATCTTTTACAATGGAACTCAAACCGTTTGCAGCTGCAGCCACCTGTCCACCTTTGCAATTCTCATGGCCTCGGTGGTGCTGGCGGTATGTGTATAAATGCACTTAACGCTGAGATTGGCTCCCCTGCAGAATGGTGTTGGGCTGGGTGGGACGGGCGACCGTATCTTAAAAAAGAATGATATTTGTGCAGCCCCTTCTCTTTTCTTCTTCCTTTTTTGTTCTTACTTTAAAAATTGTCTCTTTTTTCTTATTAGAAAATATAGCCCTTTCAGGGGTGTGTATGGTATCTCTGTGGTTTGAGTTTGTGTTTCTTTGATGACTAACGGTGTGGAGCATCTTTTCATGTGCTTTCATGGGGAAGAGCTTGTGAGCAAGAGCAGCACCTATTGTGTCTGGGAACCCAGTCACTCAAAACTGATGGAATTTGGTGATTCCACCAGCCTTTTGGAATTTGGTGAAATGCTGGTGGATTCCTTCACACTCGCTCCTGGAACAATGACCGCTTCCCTCTGTGACCTGTCGGAAGTGAAACAGTTCATCTGTCTCCTCTCTCCTTGGAGGATCTTGAATAATATCGCTTGTTTGCTGTGTAGATGCAACTTTCTGATGGGCTTGAGAAAAGTTAATGATTTTGTCGGTTTTCTCATTGTTACAATGGGAGCCATGTTCTGTTGTGACTTTCTACATCTTAACCATCATAGAACCTCTCTTTCTATTTTCAACATTCACCTGAAATTTGTTTTTGTTAATTTTTTAAAATGAATTTATCCTTTAATGGAGGTACTGGGGATTGAATCCGGGACCTCTTGCATGCTAAGCACACACTCCACCACTGAGCTATGTCCCACACCCCCACCTCAAATTTATTTTTATGTGTAGAGTGAATTAGAGTTAAATTTTCTTTTATTCCCAATTTTATTCAGTTGGTGCAGTGCTACTAAGGCTTCGTTTCCAACTGGTCGAAATTTCCAATTTTTGAAGAAGCACAAGCTCCTTAAGGAGGTTATCCAAAACGCTTAAAAATTGGAATGAAATGGAAAGCTAGCCCCGCCCCTTATGCAAATCTGTACTCCTATGTTAATGTCCTTGCCCTTCAGACGGCCACCTTCTCACTTGTCCTTCACTCAGCAATAAAACTTACTCTGAAAACTCCCGTCTTCACCTCTCCCTTGTACTCACTGCCTTGAATTATCTTTTTATCTTTTCAAGCCATCAGCACACTGGGGAATTTGTGTTCAGCAGCGGTTTTCCTTATGTGGATGATAAATAATGAATCTGCCTGAAGGTTGCACATGTCATCAGATGTACCGATTCCAACTGCAAAGATATTCATAGGCAAAATAAGGAGGACAAAGACAGCAAGGATTGGGGGGGGTGATGTCCAGGGAGGAAGCGAATGCTGGTGATGTTTTCTGCTCATTGGCATTCTGTCTTGGGCATGTGCAAGATGAACCAAATGAGAAAAAAAAAAGACTGCATTCTGAGCTTGCTATAGCAAGGAAGTCTGTCACCATCACTTGTGTTTTGGCAGAGACTCAAAGGCAAGCCGAAGCCTAGGGGAAATTTATAGTGGAAAGAAGAGACAGCTTCAGGTGTGCCCTGACTGGAGGTTGATGGACCGGTGAAGCTGAAGGCAGGCTATCTGGAAGTGGGGCATCTTATGTGATTGGTTAAGGAAGTATTTTTGGTTTTCTGTGGTTGGTCCAAGTTGAAAATGGGAACAAAATTGAGCAGAACTGTCAGTTATTAATCAAGTCCTGGCCATTCAGAGCCAATTGTTCTGGAAGTTATTGCTGGACGTCCTGAATTGTCACTAGAGAGAGCCCCCTGGATTCCTGCCTGTCCAGCACACAGTAGGCTGGCTTGCTGGCTTGTTCATTGCAGCTAAGGGGATTGGTTTCCTGGGCACGTGGCTGCAGGCTGTGGGTCAGAGTTCTCTTTTTATCTATGGTCTGGCCGTTGTCTGTGTGTTCGGTCTCTCAGGAGGACATTCCTACTAGGCGATGCGATTGCTAACCTGGGTTGTTAGTGACCACAGCATCCCAAACAAAACTGAGTTGGAATCTCTTTTCTTCTGCTGGATCCAGGAGGATCCCGTGCTGACTGTGATCACCTACGTGGGGCTCAGCCTCTCTCTGCTGTGCCTCCTCCTGGCAGCCCTCACCTTCCTCCTGTGCCGGCCCATTCAGAACACCAGCACCTCCCTGCACCTGCATCTCTCCATCTGTCTCTTCCTGGCCCACCTCCTCTTCCTCACGGGCATCGACCAGACGGAGCCCAAGGTAGGAGAAGTAGCCAAAACTCTTTCTTCTTTAAAAAATAGCATTATGTGTCACAGAAAAGTCTGTTACAGCTCAGTGTTACAGCTCAGTTGTAACAGCAACCTGGATCCGGGCCAGAGACCAAGCAGCACACGGAGAGTTGGAGAACTGAGGTTTATTACACCAACAGGCCCAGAAGAGTTAACACTCCAAGCTCTGGACCCCGTCTGCAGGTTTACACAGGTTTTTATAGGCTACCAGTCTAGACTTTGCAACATTTTGTAACATCATATGCAAACAAGGTATAATAAAAGTGACTAATTAGGAACAAGCTTTGTAGAAATGAACCAATCAAGAGTGAGAGAAATGGACCAATCAGGAGTGAGGGAAATGCACCAATCAGGAGTGAGGGAAGTAACCAATCAGGAGTGAGGGAAATGGACCAATCAGGAGTGAGCTTCATGTAAATGAAGCACTACAAATGGGCCAATCAGGAGTTAGCTCAGGGAACCAAGATTTTTAGGGGTAAGTTCCACTTTCCTAGAAGTAAGCTGTTTCAGAGGCAAAAAGTGAGATAGAGCCACTGGGCCAGGAAACCAGATGGTGACAGCAGGAGAGTAGTGGCCCTTCCTGGGGGTCCTGCTGGTCTTTTTTAATGGGGCTTCCCACCTCATATTGAGATATAATTCACACCTATCTAATTTGTCCTTTTAAAATGTACATATCAGCGGCTTTCAATATATTCACAGAGCCATGTGCCCTTCACCACAACCCATTTTTTTTCTTTTTGCTAAGTCTGTTGCCACACAGAATGTTTAATTGCATTGTAGTCAGCCTTACACACGTTCTCTCTCTCACTTCTCTCTCACTTTTTTTTTAGCTGAAGTACAGTCGGTTTACAGTGTTGGGTCAGTTTCTGGTGTACAGCGTAATGTTTCAGTCACACATGTGCAGACATATATTCCTTTTTATATTCTTTTTCATTATACGTTACTACAAGATATTGAATATAGTTCCCTATACTGTACAGTAGAAACTTGTTTATCTATTTTGTATACAGTAGTTAGTATCTGCAAATCTCAAACTCCCAATTTATCCCTTCCCACCCCTCTTCCCCTGGTAACAAGTTTGTTTTCTATGTCTGTGAGTCTGTTTCTATGTTGCAGTTCATTTGTGTCTATTTTTTAAGATTCCACATATAAGTGATGTCATATCATATGATGGCGTTTTTCTTTCTCCCCTCCCCCCCTCACTGAACTTGAAACATGATTCATTTTCATGTTTCTTCAGTGGCCTCAATGACACCCTGCCTGAGGCATGGAAAAAGATCAAGGGGCTCCCTCCAATCCATCTGAGGGCCAGACTCTAAATAAAAGAAGCACATGCAAAGGCTTAGCAACACCTCCCACTCAGTGTGTCCAGAGGCAGCCTTAGTGACTAGCGGAAGCTGGGATGGTCATGCCCATCAAACGCTCCAGGGGCTCTCCTCTCCTCGCCCCTCCCCTCCAGGTGCTGTGCTCCATCACTGCAGGTGTGCTGCACTACCTCTACTTGGCCTCCTTCACCTGGATGTTTCTCGAAGGGCTCCACCTCTTCCTCACCGTCAGGAACCTCAAGGTGGTCAACTACACCAGCGCAGGCAGATTCAAGAAGAGGTTCATGTACCCTGTTGGCTACGGGATCCCAGCAGTGATTGTGGCTGTGTCTGCAGGGGTCAATCCCCGTGGATATGGCACACCTTTGCAGTGAGTATGACGCTGAACTCATGCTGATGGGACCGTATGGGCACAGCCGCCTCCGTGTGACAGTGAGGCAGAAAGGGAAAGTTGAGCTCATCCTGCCTCAGGTTGATAATAAACATGCTCACCATTTACTCTTCCAGCCCCCGTGTGAAGTGTTTCATAGACACCATTTCTCGTCTCTCTCCAGGGAGGAGGGTAATAGCTCAGTGGTAGAGCGCATGTGTGAAGTCCTGGGTTCAGTCCCCACCACCTCCAAGAAAGAAAGAAAGGAAGGAAGGAAGGGAAGAAAGAAAGAAAGAAAGGAGGGAGGGTGGGAGGAAGGGGGGAGGGAGGGAAGGAATCTTATCTTTCTTGAAACAGTTACAGGGGAAAGTACTCCTATTTATTTTGTAGGCTAAGTGAGGTTTAGAAACAGGGTGAATGACTGGCCTAAAGGAACACAGACAATAATCTTGGAAGAGTATGAATTCTGGGCTTGATTGCCTGGTTTCACCTTCAAGGTCCCTCACTCACTAGCCTGAAGACTCTGGGGGAAGTTAGTTAAATTCTTTTCTGGGTTTTCTTATCTGTGAAATAAAGATAATGATAGTATCCACTTCATCATACTTAGACACAGTGCAAATGCTCTATAAATATTATCTATTACATATCATTTATTTTATCTTATTACCTTTTAAGTGCTACTAATATGGTTTGTTTGGTTTTTATCAGTTGCTGGATCAACCTACAAAAAGGATTTATCCTGAGTTTCATAGGACCCATATCGGTAGTCATCCTGGTAGGTTTGTAGTATGTGTGTGTGTGGTGTGTGTGTGTACGCGCTATGGGCACTAAATGTGTATACAGTATGTGTGTGTAGTTTGTAGTATTCAACTTAATTTGAAGATCAAAACAGGTACTATTTTAACAGTCATTTGTTTCCTTTTAATTGCTGACATTTGAGCATATTGACTGGTTGATTTAAAAAGATCTTTGAGCCTATTTAAATGCTGATGTATAGAGAGGAAATCAGCCCTGTCTCTCTAGTACCTAGCATATCTCATGTACTTAATAAATCTTTCTTGAATAAGTGAATGAGTTGATGTGAGAAAAGATCATTGTTCATATAATCAACTTAACATGATCTGGAGGAGACACCACCCATGTCCTTAAATTTCCTTCCACCTTTGTGCTTGTTCTACTTTTAGGATAAAGTCTGATGATTAGTCAGTATAGACTAAAACATGCTGCAGCGACAAATAAGACCTGACTTCTCAGTGGCTTGACACCACAAGTATTTTGTGTGTCTGTTCTTGCAAAGTCCACTGTGGATCAGGACGCTCTCCCCCTTTAATTTTGTGGCTCTCTTATTTTGACACGTGGCCTCCTGGGTTGTTGCTGGAGGGGAAGAGAGTTGGAAGACTGTGTAGACCTCAGGCACACATCACTGCCACCAACATCCCACTCACTGGAGTTCAGCCACGTGCTCCAGGCTATCTGAAATGATCCTGGAGATGTTTGCCCGTGACCCATGTGCCCAAGGAAAGGACTTGATGGAGACATCACATTGCATTGTCCCTGGACCACCTGGTCATCCACTCATAGTTCTTTTGTGGACTTCCAGGAGTGCTTAGCAGTATCATATAATATCCACAAGCCACTGAAATGAGTTTCAACATCTTCTAACTGAAAACCTCACACCTTTCCCATAGTCTTAAGCTCTCTCTATACCGACTATAGGTATTTGTCCACAGCTGTTTGTTTTTTATGTGTTTTTTTTCCTTTCAGATAAACTTAATCTTCTATTTGATAACCCTATGGATTTTGAGAGATCGACTTTCTTCCCTCAATAGAGATGTGTCCAAGATACAAAGCACAAGGTAAGACAGTTTTCAATAGTTAGAGGGGCTTAGCATGTGTTGCATTTCTCTAGGATTTTTTTCTGACACTATGCAATATGGATTTTCCAGACATCCATGAAACTGAGTGTGTGTCTGGGGATGGAGATGAGTGTAGGTGGGAATAGGAGAAGGGAGGGAAGTGTTACTGAACACCTACTGTATGCATCAGGCACTGTATTAGAAGCCTATGAAGCAAACATAGGTATGCACATGAATGCCTGAAACATGATGCTGTACACCAGAAACTGACACACTGTAACTGACTACCAGAAAAATAAATAAACTGAGATAAAGCACAGATGTTCACAGACACAGCCAAAAAAAATAAGCCTATGAAGTAAATACATTTATCCCACTAAACAGATGGTGGTAGAATATATTTAAGGGTGACAACAACCTATGTTAGAGGACGATTTCCACTCTACATAAGGATTCTTCCTTTTTCCTCTACATTCCTTGAAATCCAGGTCTAGCAAACTACAGTTCATGGACCAGATCTGGCCCTCTGTCTGTTTTTGCACAGCCTTTAAACTAAGAATGACTTCTGTGCTTTCAAATGGTTGGTAAAAATCAAAAGTAGAATATTTAGTGACATGGGAAAGTTATATGCCAATCAAGTTTCAGTGTCCATAAGAATGTCGAATTGGAGAGTTAATCTATGGATGTTTTCCCACTACAATGATAGAATTGAGTAGTTGAGACAGGGACCCTGTGGCTCACACAGCTGAAAATATTTCCTATCTGGCCCTTTACACAAAAATGTACTAAACCCTGCTTTAAATAACAAGGCAACAGTTATTAGACCTTATTTAAAGATACAATTAAATGCAACCACATAAACAATCATTTATAGAGAGTTGGCTGATATGTCAGGAACCAGTATCAAAAGAGGATCAACCCTAAAAGCATGTGTATTTGACAAATAATAAATGCTGGAGAGAGTGTGGACAAAAGGGAGCCCTCCTACACTGCTGGTGGGAATGTAAATTGCTGCAGCCACTGTGGAAAACAGTATGGAGATTCCTTTAAAAACTAATGATAGACTTGCCACATGATCCAGCAATCCCACTCCTGGGCATATATCTGGAGGAAACTCTAATTCGAAAAGATAAATGCACCCCAATATTCATAGCAGCACTGTTTGCAATAGCCAGGACATGGAAACAACCTAAACGTCCATCTACAGATGATTGGATAAAGAAGTTATGGCATATTTATACCATGGAATACTACACAGCCATAAAAAAGAATAAAATAATGCCATTTGCAGCAATATGGATGGGCCTGGAGATTGTCATACTAAGTGAAGTAAGCCAGTAGAGAAGGAAAAATACTATATGGTATCACTTACATGGGGAATCTGAAAAATGACACAAACAAACTTATTTACAAAACAGAGACAGACTCACAGACATAGAAAACAAACTTATGGTTACCAGTGGGGAAGTGGGTGGGAAGGGTTAAATTGGGAGTTTGGGATTTGCAGATACAAACTACTATATATAAAATAGACAACCAACAAGTTTCTACTGTACAGCACAGGGAACTATATTCAGTATCTTAGAATAGCCCATAATGAAAAAGAATATGAAAAGGAATATATGTGTATATATTTATGACTGAATCACTATGCTGTACCCCAGAAACTAACACAACATTGTAAATTGACTATACTTCAATTTTTTTAAATGTATATTTGAACCCTTAAGATTAATGAGAAAATTCACACAGAATGTAGAATTGTTGTTGCCAGGGGCCGGAGGGAGAGAGGAATGGAAAGTTACTGTCTACTGGGAGCAAAGTTTTGGTTTTGCAGGTTGAAAAAAGCTCTGTCGATGGGAAGTGGTGGTGGGGGGATAACAGTGTGGATGTTCTTAGTGCTTCTGAATTGCATTTTAATATAGTTGTGATAAACTTTATGTGTCTTGTCACAAATTTTTAAGTCCTGATTAGACACCATTCCAGTTGCAAACATTCACATTAGAGGAATAGACCCAGGGAAGAAACACATGATCATTTATTACAAGAGTTTTCACATTTAAAGGGACAGCCAAATAAATATTGTACACACCACCAGAGTTTCTCCAAGTTCATCCCAGCTTGAGAAAAGCTCACCAGTAATTGTAGGGAAAGGCAGATGGGTACCTGAAGGCAGGACAGCAGACTGCTCAGGGGAGAAGGTGAAGAGGTTGGTGACTCTCCTTCTTGGTGTTACCAGGATGCTGACGTTTAAAGCCATTGCTCAGCTCTTCCTCTTGGGATGCTCCTGGTGTCTGGGCTTCTTTCTCACTGAGCTTATAGAGGAACCATTCAGGTCGGTCATTGCCTACGCTTTCACCATCATCAACGTCCTGCAGGGGGTCTACATCTTCGTGGTCCACTGCCTCCTCAATCAGCAGGTAACGTGAACCGCCATGTCTTCTCCCCAGGTCCCCGCTACAGTCCCTTCCCGTTGCTCACACGGCTCATCCTCCTCTCCCACATTCGAGCCCTCCTTTCTGTCGCCTACATAACTGATGGCCTGTTCGCATTTTTCCCATTCCTCCTACTCTCCCCTGAGTCTAGGGAGTTCACACCTCTGTTTTCCAAGTTTCCAGTTTCCCGATACATGAAAAGGCATTGGGGATTGGATGGTAGCTTTCCCGTTCATCCTCCCTGGGTCAGAAATATGGGGTCTGAAAGTAACAACACAAAGGTTTGGGGACAATGTTTTCCATTTCTTAATATCCAAATTATATTTTAATGATTATTACAAACCTGGCTTTGAGAGGATGCAGTGGCTGCTTCCTGAAGAGGGAAGAAATCAGAAACAAGACAGAGCATAAGCAGACATTGAATTACCCTCTGTGATTTACACCATGGGGAAAAATGTAGGTGACATTAGACAACCAAGTGAGGCTTCTTTAGACTTGAGAGCGAGGGGCTTAAGGTGGGTGGGAGTCAGCCAGGCAAAGAAGGGAAGGAAAGCTGGTGTGGAAACTTGTAAGAGTTCCAGAACCCAAAGAAGGGCAGTGCTGTGAGCATAGGACAGAGTGGTGGGGTGACGGTCCAGATGCCAGCATTGGCTGGACCACATAAGATTTTTTAAGCAGTGATTTTGCATTGCATTTGGACCAGATAAATAGGTAGATATAGCTAGGTTTCGCTCCATAGGGGATGTATAATTTTGCATTTTGACCAGTAATGAGTAAGAATCCTTGTTTTCAGGGGTTGGGGGTGTAAGTAAGTGGTAGAGCATGTGCTTGGTGTGCATGAGGTCTGGGGTTCAATCCCCAGTGCCTCTGTTAAGGTGGGGGAAAAAAATCCTTGTTTTCCTCCAAATGCACCAATGGAGGGTTTCATCCAAGCTTTGAACAACCAAAGAGAAATAGAGAAATGCAAACTAAAAGTACGCTGACAGATGAGATAATATAAAATATTATATAGAAACATATAAAATATTATATCACGTATCAGTGATTCCTCTTACTATGAATGATCTTGTTTATCTTTTCACATATTTAAAGGTCATTTCTTTCCTCTTCATCATTTTTCTATTGGTGTTGGCCCTTTGTCCTCTTGATTTCTAGGAGCTCTTTACATGTTAAAGACACAAGCTCTTTGTCTTTGATAAGTTATTGATACTTTTTTTCAGTTTGTTGTTGTTTGTTGTTGTCCTTGAGATGTTAAGTCTTGAGAATTTATTTTATACCATGTTCTTTACAAGATAAGTCACTTCCCATGTGACCTCATCCTTTGTTCCCTACACACACTTCCTTCCAAGAGAGACCATGGTTTCCTCTGCCTCTACTGTTGATTTATTTTGCATGTGTCTTTTTTCATTATCATGTCACTAAGAGGAGGGGGTTCATACAATTTGGTCTCAGCAACTTTCTGCACTTGGTCAAACATCAGTTATGTTCTTGGCTTGTCTCTAATGAGTACAAACACATAAACACATAAACCTGCCACTATCTATGCTTCTCTCTCCTGATTTTCCAAATGTCTGGGTAGACAGGACATATTCTCCTAGACTCGCTAGCTTAACAAGATTATATTGCTACTAAATTTTAAGTTACAGATCATATCACTACAAACCTAACAAATGTATTTTCTATATATGTATCAGGGAACATAACTGCATTCATTTCCTAGTGCTTCTATAATAAGTCACTGCATACTAACTGGCTTAAATAATACAAATGTATTGTCTTAAAGCTCTGGAGGGCAGAAGTCTCATTGGACTGCAGTCTATGTGTCGCAGGTCTGTGTTTCTTCTAGAGGCTCTCAGGGAAAAGCTGTTCCCTTGCCTCCTCTGGTATCTAGGGGCTGCCTGCATCCCCTGGCTCATGGCCCCTTCCTTCAAAGCTGGCTATCGTATCTCTCTGTCCTCTGCTTCTCTCTTCCCGTCTACATCTCTGACGCTCCTGCCCACTCTTTCCCTAATCAGGACCCCTGAGATTATACTGTCTCACCCAGATAATTCACGATAATCTCCCCATCTCAAGAGCCTTCACTTAATCCCATCTGCCAAGACCCGTTGCCGTGGAAGGCAACATATTCCTAGGTTAAGTGAATTAAGGTGTGGATTGACTCTTAGATGTGGGGGCCGTTATTCTCTGTACCACAAATCCATAGGATGTTTCCTTTTTCCCAAACACCATATCTCCCTATGGATTAATACAAAACACCACGAAGAAGACCTAGAATAGGCACTAGGTATGGTTTTATGTGACATTTTAATTTTGTTATTTCAGCAGCCATTTAGAAAGAGCTATTAAGTTACCAGGGTTGCTCTGAGAGATTGGCTGGTGGCTATTGGCTGCAGGAAATCTGCCAGAAATGAATATGCCTGCATTGATTTGTGTTGAAATCTGTAACCCCATTCAGATGAGTTTCTAGTGATTTGCTGGATTCAGAGACAGAAAAGGACTCTGAGCCTAACCTCTGTCATATGTTTTATCAACATCAAGGTTTAAGCCTAAGACCTAAAATTTGCATTTATTTGCATTTCTCATTTAGTTTTTCTTTTTAAAGACTCCATTTGCATTTTTTTTTTTACTCTCCGTCCTGTATGAAGAAAACAGAGTAGGTCTTCCTTAAATGAGACTCATTTTTCTGAAGCTAATATTTTTACCAAAAAACCTTTTTAAACAATACTCTGATAATATTCTGAGCATGTCTTTCTCCTAACAATTGAAAGGACTGGAAACATTAACGTCGTTTTACAAAGGAAATGTAAGACTGGTCAGGTAAGCAACTTGGTCAAACTCGGTGAAAATCATTCCATAGAAACATCCTACCATTTGTGCTCCCAAAAATCCAAGCACGGACTCCATACATCCTACTCATCTTGGCGCTGGCGCCTCATCTCCAGTGACAGGGTCACTTTGTCCTCCTGGTACAGGGATGGGAGGAAAATATCTCTCCTTCACAAAGGGGAATTTATGCTCCCGTTTTAGGCAAATGAGGGGAGGGCAGAGAAATCTTCTTGCATTTATTGATTCTCAGTTGTCTTGAGCTCAAAATTATCCATGTGCCAAAGTGGCTAATTTGTGAACCCCCTTCAGGAGCTCTGCTGAGCACAATACTCAAAATCCATTAGCGCACGTGCGTTGAATGAAGGAATACGCCTGCACAATGAGAGACTAAAATCTACAAAGAACCCCAATTCACACATATTCAATATCCGTTCAGCTAAACGATGGACGTCTGCTGTGTACCGGGCTCTGTGTATAGAAAGAATTCTTCCTCTGAAGAGTTAAGGAGTTAAACCCATAATGTCATTAGGTAGAGGCATAAATTAAGGTTGAATAACCATCATGGCTATCCATTTGACCAAGTTTAATAAGACTCAGAAAGAAAGAGATTAAAAAATCAGATCTCAGGGAGGAGGGTATAGCTCGGTGGTAGAGTGTGTGCCTAGCATGCACGAGGTCCTGGGTTCAGTCCCCAGTACCTCCACCAAAAGAAGTAGGTAAATAAATAAATGAACCTGATCACCTCCCCCCCACCAAAAAAGAACAATTGGATCTCAACTTCCAGGTCAGTGTTTCTACTAAGCAAGATTTGAAAATGTATTGATTTTCATTTAATTACTAAATTATCTTGTCATTTGAGGTTGCTCTGTTAAGAGGAGGTCGCAATTCTGTGGCTACAGAAAAGTGCTCAGGTTCTTAGTCATACGTCAGTGCTGTGTGATCGTTAGCGTAAATAATGCACAGATAATATCTCTTACCCACTCTTGGATAAAACTCTTGAATAGAGTCTATATGAACCATTGGCGAAGATTAACGGAGGAAAAAAAGCCCTATTTTTTGGTAGCATCCTTTTGTAGCCTTCGTGCCTATAGCAGGAAAGCATTTAAAGGCAAGATTTTCAGTTACAATCTTTTTCAGGTGAGAGAGGCGTATGTCAAGTGGTTTAGGACGATGAGTAAAGTGCCCGAATCCGACAGCTACATCCTATCCAGCTCCACCACCCACACCCACGTGGTAAGGCGATCCCTCTCCCCGTCCGTGTGGTTTCTTTTTTTGTGTTCATTTTATTTTTTCTAAATTTCTTTTGTTTATTTGTGTGTGGTGGGGGGTAATTAGGCTTTTATTTATTTGTTTGTTTGTTTATTTTAGTAGAGGCACTGGGGATTGAACCCAGGACCTCGTGCATGCTAAGCAGGCACTCTGCCCCTGAGCTGTACCCTCCCCCCGACCATGCTGTTTCCTAGTTGGAGATGCTCTCTCCTGCCTGCAGCTAGGTCTGCCACCCCGATAGTGATGGAGTCACGCAGTGATTCTTGGTAGAGGAACCTGTTAGCATTTCTGTCTCAGCTGAGTATCTCCCACCTGACTGTGAGCGCCCCTACGTGGGGGGATGGTACTATACTGTCTGCACACTGAATTATTTTGCTTTTCTAGAATATGGTTCTATGTGAGTCCAAATCTTGGAGTTATAGAAACATGAATGAAAGTCTTCCTTACATGAGATTGGTTCATGAGTTCTACGAGGTTGCCAAACAGGTGTTTTATTATGGTTTCCTATGAGCCGAAACCATGCACACATTTTGTATCCTCCAAAGGGTCCATGGGATTCTGGACTTTCCCAAAGTATTTGTCAAACTTTTTTTTTTTTCCCTGTTGAAAACGTCTTTACACTTTGTGGAACACTGATGTTTGAAAGAGCATAATTTAAGGATTGGTATAGGCAAGATAGTGCATGAAGAAAGAGATAAGATGTTACAAGCCGCTTCTTTTATTTGATAATGCTGATGGGGAAAATGAACGAAGAGTTATATTGATGGGTTTAGATGAGATTTCAGAGCAGGAGACCTAGGTTTCAGTGCTACTTCTGCAGTGAATTTTGTACGACTTTGAGATCAGCCTCCTTATTGGTGAGATGAGAGGACCAGACACCATCATCTTATCCTTACTCTCCAATCTTTGATTTTCTGAGATACAAAAAGCAAACTTAAGCCTGGAAGAAAGACCCTCAGACATTACCTGGGACCCACACGTTAAAATGAATCTCATCATTTTGCCAGGAGATTCCCAACGAATGATTTCTAACAATGACTTTACTGAATATTTCAACATGAATTCTCTTTATGTCTCTCCCACAAACTCACATATGGCTCTTTGATGGAAAAGAAATCCAATTTTAGGAGGAAAAGAAGCAATACTTCAGTTTGAAAATTTCAGGCCGCTCCATGTCATCATCCCAACCATCCTGGAGAAGGAATCAGTCGTGTTACTCAAACATCCATGAGGACCGCTTCATGGTCCAGGAGCATTGTTGGCAGAACGTATGCTTTGGTTGAATGATATTTTGTGCCTTGCTTCGCTTACAGCCCTTACATTTTCAATTAAAGTATTTTACACGCAAACATATAGATCTTAACACATACATTTTGATGAGTTTGCAAATGTATATACTTGGATAACTATCCATCATATCAAGCAAATCAAGATATAGAATGTTTGCATCACCCCTGAAAGTTCAATCGTTTATCCCGTCTTCCACCCCTGAAGCAGTTACTGTTCTGATTTTTATCACAGTAGATTAGTTTTGCCAATCCTTTAAGTCCATAGACATGGAAATTCACAGTTATGTCCTCCTGGTGTCTGCCATATTTTGCTCATCATGATTTTTTTTTTTTGCAATTCATCCATTTCATGCATATATTGTTAGTCTGATCCTTTCATTTGCTGGGTAGTATTTCACACTATTACATTTTGTGATTTGTTTATCTATTCTCCTGCTCATGTCCGTTTGAGTTATTTCCATTTTTTTCTATCATAAATAAAGTCGCTATGAACATTCTTATGGCATTATTTCATTATTTTTTATGGCTGAGTAGTACTCCATTGTATAAATACACCACATCTTCTTTATCCAGTCATCTGTTGATGGACATTTAGGTTGCTTCTGCATCCTGGCTATTGTAAATAGTGCTGCTGTGAACATTGCGGTGCATGTATATTTTCAAAGTAGAGTTTTCTCCAGATATGTGCCCAGGAGTGGGATTGCTAGATTATCTGGTAACTCTATTTTTAGTTTTGTAAGGAACTTCCATACTGTTCTCCATAGTTGGACTAGCCATGTTTTAAATGCTCAGTAGTGACATGTAGCCAGTGGCTACCAGATTTGGGGAAAAAAATCGTTAAAACGTATCTTTTCAGAGCAGTTCTAGATTTACAGAAAAGTTGAATTGAAAGTACAAAGATTTCCCGTATATTCCTCCCCTACCCCGCCCCACAGTTTCCTCTTTACACTGTCTTGTGCACCTCCTCTATGGTTCTGTCCTGAAAGGGTTAAACAGAAACCCCAATATGTGAGTGTTACCAGCATCCATCCCGCATCATAGCACTTGAAAACACAGTCAAAGGTCTGGCACAGAAAAGTTTATACATTTGTTCAGGACTCATCAGAAACGCAGCTGCTGTTGAAATCAAAAATCTGTAACTTGGTTAAGAACCGAATAACATTTTGTTTCAAAAAGGACTCCCCTTGCCTCCCCACCGCTGCCCAGACAGCAGGCAGGGATGGACAGGTCTGTCTCACTGAGCTTCCAGCCTTGAAAAGGGAAAACTAAAAAGAAAAAAACAGCAAAATATTAAAAACTCTCTTCCCCACCTCCTCCGTTGGAAATAGCAAAGTCAGCGAGAAGCGAAGAAATAAACGATGGATGGTTTGGTGGGGGGGGGGGGAGAAAGCACAGGACAGGTGATGCAGAGAGCTTTGGTCCATCTCCACCAGTCCCCGAGGCACCACTCATCACAACCATCAAGCAGAAAATAAAGAAGTTAAAATGCACTTACTGCTGGACAATGACACCTTTCCTAGGTCTCTGGTTGCTGCTATCTGGGAAAAACGTATAAAGGGGGAAAAGTCACTGATCACCACATCTCCATCTGTGTATACACTGCATTTCATTCTCAGAGAGCAGTTGGGATCAGCCAGTCTGCACGCAGAGAGGAAGCTACAGGAGCAGAAAGGTAAAAATTAAGAGTAACATATTAGGAGCCTCGCAAAGCCCGGAGTCTGTCTGTGAGGTGCGAGGAGTAAAGAGTGTAAAGATGTCCTTACGCTGTGTATTAAATCATCATTTTCCAACTTACTGAAATGCTAACTTCATCATATACTGATCTTCAATATACACAAAACACGGTGTCTAGACCCTCTGAATCACTCCCTCAATCGTTTGCATTTGATGATTCTCTTTCCTCCAGTAACAAACCTTACCGAATGTTTTGGTGTATCACTTTTTCCATATTCCCCACCACAGTTCTTTGTTTTTCTTAAATGTTCTTACTTCTCCTTTTAAATTTTCTATTCTATGTGAATTTGAGAATCAATATTTCCATCTTTTCAAACCTACATCTTGGTTCTAACTTTATTACAATGAATCACATAGTTAGGGTGAAAGTTACAATGTGGTAAGCACTGATAAATTTGGCATTTTCCTATTAAAAACCAGAATTCTTATTTCCTTTCATAATGTATTATCCTTTTTGTTTTATTTTCCCTATGTGTTTGCTTTAAATGCACTGATTTTTATTTTCCCCTTCCCTCTACTTGCTTTATTTTGCTCTTCTTTTTCTAATTTCTCAAGAGGAAACTTTCATTATGGATTTGAGACCTTTTCTACTTTCCAGTGTGTGCCTTTACTGTTATAAATTGCACTCTTAGCACTGCTTTAGCTGCATCTCACAAATTGTGATATATTGTATGTTCACTTTTATTAATTTCTATGTATATTTTTACTTTCCTTTGGAGCTCGGACACTGGGGGATATTTATATTCTTTCATGTTTTAATTATCACAATGATGCTAGAAAATGCTAGAATAAAATTGATTTAAAACTTTAGTAGGGAAAAGGATGTGGGGAAAGGGAAGCTCTGTGCACTGTTGGTGGGAATGTAAATTGGTGCAGTCATTAAGGAAAACAGTATGGAGGTTCTCAAAAAATTAAAAATAGCACTGCCATGTGAACCAGCAGTCCCACTTCTGGGTAAATATCTGAGCAAGACAAAAGTCACTATTCTGAATAGTCATCTACACCTCCATCTTCACTGCAGCATTATTTACAATAGTCAAGACATGGAAATGACCTAAATATCAAAAGATGAATGGATAAAGAAAATGCAATTCTATATTTTATATATATGTATGTGTACACATGCTCATATCCATACACACACACACACATGTACATACTCTTTATTTAGCCATAAAAAAATTAGAAAATCTTGCCGTCTGCAACAACGTGGATGGCTTGTTGAGGGCATTACACTAAGTGAAATAAGCCAGAGAAAGACAAATACTGTAGGATCTCATTAATATGCGGAACCTAAAAAATTGTTTTGTATTTTTAAAATCTCATAGAAAAAGGTATCATGTGTGGTTACCAGAGGTGGAGAATTGGTGGGAGGAGAAATAGGATGAAGGCTGTCAAAGGCACAAACTTCCAGTTATAAGAAGAATAATTACCAGGGATGTAATGTACAATGTGATGTCTCCGGTTAACGCTGCTGAATGATATCTATGAAAGTGTTAAGAAGGTAAACTCTAATTCTCACCTCAGGAACAAAACATTTTCTTATATCTTTTTTTTTTAGTATACGAAATGATGGATCTTAAAGTTATTGGGGTAATCATTTCATGATATATATGTCATGTAATTACACTGTATGCTCTAAATAGTGTTGTATGTCAATGATATCCCATAAAACCAGAAAAAAATTGAAGATAAAAAGTGCAAAATTATAAATGAAGGACAAGTTACACTGTTTTTCTTTTAGAATTACTTTATTAAACATAAATGTACAACTGCTTCTTTACATATACAGTTGAACTTTTTAAAGGAATACATTATGTCTTATTACACCATATTCCTGGTTAATAGTTTTTCAAAACTTTGAGAAAACCCTTTAAAAAGGTTTTACATGTCACCCAAAATGCATACATTTAACATTATCAAAAGAATGCTTCTGCCTTCTTACAGAGACTCCTATAAAGAAACAATTAAGAGCCTAAGAAACTGTCACAATGGCATTTTTTTCTAACAATCTTTCCTCCACGGTCAGGTAATGTTACTAAACAATCCAAACCATTCACAAAATGCCTCTCTGCATCTGCTTTTGTGTCTTCTGCTACATCACCGCATAATTATGCATGACTGAGATGTGTTGCCTTAACATGGTTGTTTCCATAACCTGAAGCCGTTCTGTGACCTCTGGGCTCTCATCCTCTCCTATTAATACACTGAAGCCCATAGCAAATAGGAAGAAGCTCAATATGCACTTCTCCCTCCATAACCCTCACTTCCTCCACCATATGGTCCCCTCATGTTCCTGCCAACACCAAAGTATCCATTCTTCATTGGACCGTAATTAGAAGGTTGCTGGTTATAATTCCCAAAATCACTGTAATTCCCACTTCCATAAATTTCTCCTCCATAGCTGTCAGAACCACCTCCAGAGCCCCCAACCTGGTTGTCATATCCAGGTCCTCCACCACCATATCCTCGTCCTCCACCACCATATCCTCCTCCTCCTCCTCCTCCACTGCCGGGGATACCTCCAAAACTCCCACCTCCAGGCCCTCCTCCATAACCATGATAACCATCCCTAAATCCAGGACCATTTCCATGTCCATCAAACCTTCCTCTAAAATTCCTTCCTTGTCCTGGTCCAAAATTTCCATCACCACTAGGAGAATCTCCAAAACCAAAATTACCTCCTCTTCCGCTTTTAGAACTTTGGATTTCCTGCATTTCTTGTCTAGACAAAGCCTTGCCTACTTCTACATGATGACCATTGATGATGTGGTGTTTCTGCAACACAATCTTATCCACGGGGTCATGGTCCTCAAAAGTAACAAACCCAAAGCCTCTTTTCTTTCTAGACCGCCTATCAGTAATTATCTCAATGCTATCAATTTTTCCGTATTTCTCAAAGTAATCCCTAAGATGATGTTCCTCGGTGTCTTCCTTAATTCCACCAACAAACAGCTTCTTGACCGCTGCATGAGCCCCCGGCTTTCCAGACTCCCCTCTTGCAATAGCACGTTTGGGGTCCACCACCCTCCCATCAATTGAATGGGGTCTGGCAGCCATGGCGGCATCGACCTCGGCCGTGGAGGAGAAGGTCACGAAACCAAATCCTCTGGATCGTTTGCTTGCAGGATCCCTCATTACCACGCAGTCTGCAAGGTTCCCCCACTGCTGGTAGTAGTTCCTCAGACTTTCCTCTGTGGTTTCGGAGCTCAAGCGACCAATAAAGAGTTTCCGGAGCTGCTCCTTTTCTCTCGTGTCCCCCTTCACGGCAGCAGACCTCAAGGTCGGCTCCATCGCGGACCCTGTGGCTTCCGCGAGATTTCCGATTCCTCGCCGCTGGGGCGGACAAGGGAGATCTCGCGAGATGAAGGCAGACGGACGGGTGCCCGCCCTGCGGCGAGGCCCTCGGCTGGTCCGGGAGCGGCGCGTGCGGGAAGCGCCTGCGGGGGGGGGGGGGGCC